CCTTATTAGTCTTTTGGAGAACTCGGATTTTTGTTTAATAGGAAACAAGGGGCTGTTTTCGTCTTAAGAACTGTGTGGCATTCTTCTTTCCTGCTGTTCTGGCTTCCTCCTCCCTGATCGGAGGTGCACTTCAGCGTGTGACAGGGAAGGGCTCCCAATTAGAGCCTGATCTGGCCAAGAGGTGGGCCAGTGAGACCTGGCCAGAGCAATGAGGCGATGATGGCTTCATTAATACCATTCATCTGGGAAACACTAGAAGAAAAGTGGGGTTTGCTTTTGCAATGCTAATGTTTGAGTCTGCTTTTGAGTTTATCTTTTACAAAGTTTGACACTATTGTACTTTGGCATATTGTTACTATAGGAAATGAACATTTTTTTTTTTTTGCAGGGGAAAATATCAGTGTTCACAATGCAGTGGGTGGGTGGGTGGGTGGGKGGGGAAGGGACTTGTTTAGCAAATAGTGGCTGTAAGCTGACACGGGTGAAGTTTCTCCTGCTTGAGAGAGTAGACTTTTTAACGCTGTGGCATCGTTAATGAACAAGCCTGGAAGAATCGTGACATGATGACATGGTTATCATTTAAAAAACATCCTTCCAGACCTTTTGCACAGATGGTGGCCTGCCCTGTGCTGTGTTGGGCCCTGCTCTTCCCATGTTAAGCTCTCTGATGGTTCCACATTGGTGCGTCCAGATCTGCCTCATTCTTTTTATTGGCGCAGAAAAAGAAAGTCACTGTTACATTATCTGTGAAGTTTTCCTCACTGATAGACGTTTAGGTTGTTGGGAACATTTTGCTGGTATAAGCAGAGTGGCAGTGAGCACCCTGGAGGTCACTTCTTGAGTAAATCTGAAATATAGATTCCTAGGCGTGGGATCCGTGGTCAGAGGGTCTTTTTGCTCTTAAAGCTGATAGACATTGCTGCATCGCCCTCTGAGTTGATACCCATTTGTCTTACAAACTCTTCTGTGGTGCTTGCTTTGGGCGAGGAACTATGCCGTATGTTTTACAGATCTGAAGAGAGATCATCATGCTCAGAGTTTCTGCAGAGGAGGAAACTGAGGAAAGAGGGATGAGGAACTCACCTGAGGTCCATCTCCAGCAAGTGGTGGAGTTGGAATGCACCCAGGCAGCCCAGTCCACTGTTGGTTCTTCGTAACTGCACCCACCTATTCTCCCCAGGGGCTGTTTCTCCCCATCCTGGGACCCCACAGTGACACCTACCTCCTTCACCTTTCCAAACCCGATCACACGGCTGCCAATTTTTCTTATCATTTTCCATTTTTCTTGTTACTAGTTGAGACGGGACACATTTGCATTTTCTTGTCTATTCATCCTCTGTTTCTGTCCTTTGCCCATTTTTCCATTGAGTTGTGAATATATATCTACATGTTTTCTACGAAGGAACTCCTTACAGATTAATATGGAGAAAATCAGCCCATCTCATACGTATTCCAGGTGATTTTTCCTACGTGGTCGTCTGCTGTTGGCCTTTGTGATGTGTTAGTTTGAAGTGACATGAGATAGAGATTCTGCAGTTTGAAAGCATTTTGTAAAAATCTCCCGATTTCTTCTAGAATTTCACGATTCATTTAAAAATGTTTGTGTTGTTTCGAAAGATAACCCTGGGATCTGGCTTTATCTGCCTGTAGATGAGAACTTGGTGCCGGGCGTTGTCCCGACTTGCTGTGACCACGGACGGCAGAGCTGTGTCAGGAGACGTTGGGTCTCGAGCCAACCTTGACTACTTTCCTTCCTTGCCCTGTTTGTGTCCCTGGAGCCGATGATTGTCTTCTTTCCTTTGCTTCCTTTTCCAGGTACTTACCCAGGTACTTACGCTGCATTTTCTTTCCATCCACTCGGATTGGTTGGATCCGCCAAGGCCCCAGTCTCTCCCCTGGGAGTCCCGGTCTGCAGGTTTTCCGGGCTTTTCTGGACAGGGTTGGCTTTCTCTGTGGCCTGGGTGGCATCAGGGACCTCACCTGCTGCTACTTGGGTGGGGGGGCCGGGGCTCCCCTTTGCCTCCCTGAACTCTGTCTCTGGAGCCGGGGTCTTGGTTTCTGTGTTTCTTCCTGTGTTGGGCCCTCTCGGTGGCATGTGGGGTGACCGATGTTTCTAGACCTTGCAGGACACGCAGATCTGCAGACGAGATGTTGAACTTAAAGGCTGTTCAGGAGTTACAGTTGACCAGGTCCCCTGCCTCGCTGCTACTGGCAGATGGGTCGGCCCTCAACACCCCACCTGTCCAGGGGTTCTGGGCCAGGCTTTGGTAACTCAGTGCTGAGCTCCAGGTCATCAGGGCCACGTGGAAGAGCTTCCTCCTGAGCCAGACTGCCCTACAGTTATGTTTTCTTCAGAAACTTTGTTTTTCCTGGAAATAGTTCACTTTTATAAAGCTTGCCCGATGCTATGTTTTGGATAAGTGTCCCCAAAAACCCATTATTAAAGGCTTGGTCCCCAGAGTAAAACTGTACTTAGTGGAACCTTTAGTAGGTGGAGCCTTGTGGGAGGCCCTTAGGTGGCTGGGGGCGTGTCCTGGAAGGGGACTGTGAACCTCAGTCTCAGTCTGGTTCCTGGCTCCATATATAAGTGGTCTGCTCTGCCATGTTTCCTCGCCGTGATGTGCTGCCCTTGCCAGGGCCCAAAGCATAGGACTGCCTCATCCTGAACCTCCAGAACCACGCCCTAATTCAACCTTTCCTCTTTATAAAGTTAATTGCTTCAGGTATTTCATTATAGAAAGGGGAAGCTAATACACTTGATTTTTGAATGTAGTCATTGCTGATTTTTCCAAACAACTTCAAGAGACCTGTCAATTTTCTTTGAAGTAGTGTTTACTGAACTCTAAACTGCAGTAACTGTAGACTTCCTTGACATCATTTTGCCCAGAGCCCCACTTTCTGTAGCACTGGTCTTCCAGTTCCTGTCTGAATGCCTGGTACCCAGTGCTCCAGGCCGAGTACCCACCCAGTCCTCACTTTGTACTTTGCTTTCCTCTCTTCCTTCCTTGGTTCCACTCTCCTTTCATGGCTTACGCCATTATTTTGATAGGACACATAATCCAGTAGCTTTCTCAGAAGGTAAAAGTAGCTACATTCCTTTTGAATTGTTACATGTGATATCTTTGGTGTAAGCTTGGATTTACTTGAAATTTTTACTGTATACAGGATTAGAAATTGAAACCCTTACCCTTGAAATTTCAAGGATAGTTCTTCATTGTCTTAAAACATGCTTCAGGGCTGGGGTTGTGGCTCAGCGGGAGAGCACTTGTGCCAGGCCCAGGGTTCGATCCTTAGCACCACATTAAAATAAATAAAATAAAGGTATTGTTTTTGGATAAGCGTTTTTGGATAAGTGTCCCCCAAAACCCATTATTATTGCTGCATTGCCTAAAAGATAAATATTAAAAAAAACATGCTTCATATATGACGCCCTATTTGGAACATTTATGGATTTTCGCTTAATTTCTCATATTTTTAAAGTTTCACAACCTCTACCGTTTATCTCAATGGGTTTTTTTTTTTTTTAAATTATGTCTGCTGGGCGTCTGTATTCTGGAGACACTTGTCTGTCAGTCTGAGACAGTTCTTGAATTTTTTAAAAAAATAATTTCTTTCATTTCTCTCTTTATATATTATTTGACTGTTAGGCCTTTTGGAGGATTCTCCACTTTTCTGCTTTTTAAAATTTCCACCTATGTATATTTTGCTTGTATTTCTGAGAATTCTTCAAATGACGCTTTCAACTAACTATTAAAATAAAGATTTCAGTTGTCCATATTGTTAATTTCCAAGTACCATCTCTTCCTATATCTTAGAAGAAATATTATTTTTTCTCCCCTGGGGCCATTCTGGATTTTTAAAAAATCTTCTGTTCCCTAGAACGTCCCTGTGATTTTAGAAGCTTTGTTTTGCTTTAACTCTGCTTCTTCAGCTAAAGCCCTGACTGACCCTTGGCTTTCAAGAGCAGGGGTGGACAGTGAGGGACTGAGGCTTGGTGGGCGGGTGGTGTCTGTTGGTTTTCTTTCTAGTGGGGAAGCAGCAGCCCCTGGGTTTCTGAGGAAGCCCTCAGGTGTCAGCCGTGTGTTCATGGAGATTCTCTGAGAATTCCATCAGCCAGCCTGGGATGGGCCTGGGTGAACTCGGAGTGTTCTGGAAGCAGGATAGAGGAGGGTGCCCTTGGGCCCTGTGGTGCAATAAGGAGCCGCTTCCTCCATTCCCACTGTCTTGCCTCATTTTCAGCCTTGAATCACATGCTCTCAGGTGTCTGCTGTATGTGAGTCTCTGACCTCCCTGGTTCCATGTCTTTGTACAGTCAACCTCTGTTGGAGAGCAGGGCAGTTGGGGAAGGACCGTGGGGTATGAGGTCTGGCTTCTTTGTGCATTGACTACACCCTGTTCCTCTGCCCCTCAGACTCCCTTCAGCATGAGCCTCTTGGGCTCCGGAAGAGGCTGGTCCATGGGCTGGAGGCCCTGGGAGCATCACTTAGGCTGCCATCCGTGGCTTCTCTGGTCCCCCTCAGCCCAGAGTCAGTGAACTGTCCCGTTTGCTCTTGTGTGCTGCCAGCTACCTGTTCTCTGTCCTTTAAACAATCTGTCCACTGTCGTTTCAGTAGGGTTTTTAGTGGGAGAGGTGACAGAGGCAGGTGGTGAATCTGCCATGTTCAATTGGAGGTTCCTTTTCTTTGGCCAGGTAGAGTACGAGAGTGTGGCAACAGGTGCCTACAGGTTTCGTTATTAGAATTACTGTAAAAGCCGTAGTAATACCAGACCTGAATTATTTTTGAAATCATGCAAAATGTTTCAGGTCTTTGTAATTCGTTGAAGGCCATTGATATGATTGACTTAAAATCCCTCCTCCCTCCCCCAGGCAGCCTCAGAAACAGCTCGTTGGAGTGAATGACACGTTTGGTCCGCTGTTCCCGCGTCGTCCCCGCGCGTCGTCCCCGTGCGGGTCCGCACAAGCTCTGCTTCACGTGTCTCTGTCTCGTTTTCCTCCCCAGCACACAGAAAATCAGATTCAGCCTGCGAGGTTTTCTTTGCTGCTCTCCCGACTGCAGATGTCTCCGCTGTGTCTGAGGGTGTGTGCCAGCCTGTCATCAGCGCCGCGTTTTCTTCTGGATGGAACAAAGGAAGGGTGTCCTGCGGTGGGAGACACGGGAGAGTTTGAGCTGATGAGCAGCGACTGGGCCTGGGTAGGAATCCGCAGACCCCGGGCCTGGCTGCTGATCTCAGTTCAGCTGCTTTGAAGGTCTCGGTGACCTTGAGCACCYGGTGATGGAGGGGAAGGGAGGTCCTGAGTACAGGGTCTCCCTGGTTGACAGGGGGCTCGGGCTGGGCTCCCGCAGTTCCACTGGGCGGGTCTGGGTTGCTGGTCTCCTGAACCCCTCAGAATTTCCCCACTACCCCCAGGGGCTGTAGCCAAAAGGATGATTGCCCCATAGCGTCTCTAACCAAGCCCCCCCGAAAATGCCCATCTGCAGAACCAACAGCTCCTTAGACATCCAACTTAAAGCAACCAGGAGCTTTAAGACCAGCTTGAGGGGCTGGAGATGTGGCTCAGCGGTAGCGCGCTCGCCTGGCATGCGTGCGGCCCGGGTTCGATCCTCAGCACCACATACCAACAAAGATTTGTGTCCGCCGAAAACTAAAAAATAAATATTAAAAATTCTCTCTCTCTCTCTGTCTCTCTTAAAAAAAAAAAAAAAAAAAAAAAAAGACCAGCTTGATGGATGTTCGGAAATAGCCAAAATTGGGGAGACGGTCCCTGGTGGCCTCCACCTGGCCACCTCTGGTTTCTGTAGGCCTTGGGCGAGGTGCTGGGTCCATGTTTATGTTTTTGGAAGAGGAGAAGCTGCAGGGGGGAGCGAGCCYCTCTGCTGCCTTTGCACACTGTGCTGACTCTGCGTTTCTTTGTGAGGATTCTGCAGGCCTTGACGCGCATGTACAGGAGCAGAAGCCAAACCTCTCTCTCCTCCAACATCTGTGGGCTCAGGGGGTGGGGTCTGGAGCCCAGGGAGCGGGTGGGACACTTCTGAAAGCCGGGGTGGGAGACATCAGAGCCACAGCGTTGCATCGGCTGGCAGCCACCCAGTACCACGGCAGACCGACGCTGGGCCAGAAAGATGCGTTCAGGGTGCTGAGGATCACAGGGGAAAGCGTGCCGTCGAGGCGCGGGGAGTGTATGTTCTGCTGTTGTCCGGCCGTCTGTGGTCCTCCYGTCTTGAGCTCTGGTGTGGGATGGCTCTCTTTCCCACTCTGCAGGGCTGTGTCGCCCTCAGCCTTACGCACGGCCTTCAGTCAGGAAGCCTCGGGTTGATTACCCTTTGTCCCTGAGGGCTCTGTTCTCCCCAGGCTGGGCAGGGGCTTTTCTGGGCAGTTGGTGTCCACAGCAAGTTGGTCCTGGGTTCACTTAGATCTCAGGTGGTGCTGGTGGAAACTCCTTCAGGAGGAATTTGGCTATTTCCGAATGTCCATCAGCTGGTAGGAATGTCTTCAGGCTCTGATTTCATTGGCTCTAGGTTTCCCCTCCTGGACCTGGAGGCTGGGGGTCCTMAGGGGACCCTGTGACCCTGGAACGCAGCAGGCCTGGGAGGTGTCTGGGGATCTCATAAGGCCTCACTGGAAGCCTGGGCCATGGGAGGGGGGTGGGGGCTGCCTCAGTGAGTCCCTGCCAGTTAAGGACAGCACCAGAGTGTCACAGGTATAGCTCCAACGTACGAACAGAGTGTGTGGTTTGCCCCGTTTTTCTTACCTTGGTGTGGTGTGCACACTGTCCCATGCTGGCCAGGACTTACTGGCACAGGGGCCTTTGAGGAATAGAAAGGAGCCAGTGGGGGGTGGGGTAAAGAAGGGGAAGAGGGTAATGGGGAGGGTGCATGTGCAGAAGTGTCACATGGAAACTCTTCTATATAATCAGTATGCACTAATTGTAATAATAATGAGAATCATAATAATAATAGTAGGAGCTCGGGCCAGGGTTGCCTAACTGTGGCCTGGTGGTGCATTGCTTTGCCCTGGGTATAGGGGTTCGGGGGTAACAGGCATGGGGACCTGATGTGAGTAGGATAAAGCACCAGAAGCCACAGCCCTAGCTGGAGGCCCCCCGTGCCCACCGGCTCGCTGTGTAAGAGGGGGCCGCGCTGACCAGGGACGGGCTCACCCTGTTCGCAGCGACTCAGGCGAGGTCTGAGGGATCCGCTGAAGCTCTGTCACTCAGAGCGTAGTGACAGGAAGGCCTTGGGGACTTCGTGGACTCCCTGGAGTCCTGACTCTCCTCCTACCTTCCAGCTCCAGAATGCCCATTTCAGGTCTTAAACACCTTCCGAGGAAGACTGAGAGGAGGATCCAGGTGTGAGCAGTCGAGTTCGTTCGTTGGTGAGCCCAGTGCCAGGTGCAGCGGTGCTCGGCGGGGGCTGCCCGCCCGCTGAGCTGTGCAGGTGATGGCCGTGAGCCCCATGCTGTTCACGTCGGGGTGTGCACCTCTCTGCTCGTAGGTTGGTGTCTGTTGACAGTGTCTTCACAGGTCGGTGACTGGGAGCCTTTGTCGACAGAGTCACAGGTATAGCCCCTTCTGGCACACATCGGGAGTTCTACATGCACACGAGTGTGATAACGGGTGCCTGCAGGTTTCATGTTTTTTTTTGGTGCAGATTCCAGATGTGTTTGAAGACGCGGAGTGAGTGAAATAGCCTTTTGACAGCGTGACAGATTCCAGGAGGGCYCGGGAAATCACTGTAGGCGGCTCTGTATTGTCTTTGGAAAGACGTTCCTAGAGAAAGCCGCATGGGACATGTCAGAACACCTGGCCTGGGGCCCCTGGACTGTCTGCCTCTTCACTGTCCAGCTGCCATGTCCCCTGCTTAAATGATCACAGGCAGCTGTGGTGGCRAAGCTTTAGGCCTAGCAGGGCTTAAGCCCTTTACAGATGTTCATTTGCTTTCTCCCCAAGTGCTGAGAGATAAATGACACCTGAGGAAATGGAGGCACAGAGAGGTCAAGTGACGGCCCAGAGTCACACAGCTGGCAATGGACAGAGCTGTGATTTGAACCCACTCGGCTCCTGGGATTACGCGCTCCAACCTCTACCCTGCTTCTGACTGGAGCCTAGGCCATGGTGATAAGAGGGTGTGGGTCAAGGTTGAAGTTGGGCGTTGCATTCTCTAGAAGATGCTTGGGCCACAGACTGCYGGGGAGCTTGATTGATCGACTTTTCAGTAACCAGCCACTCTTGATTGAGGTACCTGTTCTGTGGGCCATTCACGAATAGGAGTGTAAAACGTGGTTTCTGTCCTCAAGGGCTCACAGCCAAAGTCAGGGTCTGGGGAATGGTCTTAGGAACACAGTTTGTGCAATCCGAGACACAGCTCCAGGGAGCCCGGAGTGGATTTGTCTTGGGAGGGGAACTGGTTGCCATCTGAGCGACAGAAGGTTAACCTCAACCAAACAGAGTCACAGGAGCCTGCAGCCSGGAAGCTGTCCTGCCTCATCCCTCCTGGCTCCTTAACTGGTCTCCATTATCCTTTCCAAGACTCCTGAGCTCTCCCTTTCCGCCTCCCAGTCTTGGATCTGTCAGTCATTCCATCTTTCTCCCTCTCTTTCTGTCTTTGAAAGTAAAAAAAAAAAAAAAGCAAAAAGAAAAAYAAGTTAATTGTAAAAGAAACACATAATATAAAATGTACCCTCTCGACTTTTTTTCATGGTACTGGGGATTAAACCCAAGGGTGCTCCACCACTAAGCCACATCCCCAGCTCTTTTTATTATCATTATTACTACCTACTACTATTTTGAGACAGGGGCTTGCTAAGTTGCTGAGGCTGGCCTCAAACTTGAGATCCTCCTGCCTCAGCCTCCAGACCCACTGGGATCATAGGCGTGCCCACCACACCGAGTCCTCTCTTCCGTTTTTAAGTGTTCAGTTCAGTCGTTCACTGTGTCCACATGGCTGCGTCCACAGATCTCGAACTTCATCTTGAACAACTGAAACTCTCTGTCCCTCTCCCTGGCCCTGTTCTGTGATCTGGGAAGCGCTAGATACCTTACAGGAGTGGGGCGGATYAGAGTTTGTGCCTGGCATCTCCTCTCAGCGTGGCATGCTCGGGACTCATCCAGGTTGTAGGAGGCAGAGGACTGGCCTCTCTGGAAGTCCCTCCACTGTGCCTGCACCACCGTCTGGTCATCGGCCCTGGCCTGCTGGGGCGTCTCCCCCTTCTGGCTGCCCTGAGCCCCGGGTGGGGGTCTTGCAGACCTGCTGGCGGGTCCTGCCGCTGCCCTCCCAGCAGTGGGTGAGCCTGGCTCCCAGCTCCTGGATCCTGCAGGAGTTCTCTTCTCAGGGTGGGGCAGACGTCAGTCTCCGTCTTGAGCAAGAGCGAACCATCTGGTTCTTTTCCAGAACTTCCCCTCGGCTGACCCCTCTCCTTGCCCTGGGCTGGGTTCCCTGACAGGCATCCTCCTCGCGGACCCTCATTTTCCATTGGCTTCTAAGGGCCTCCGTGTCCTCCTGTGCCCAGGGCGGGCAGCCRGAAACACACCTTGTCACTAGTGTGGTTTATTGTCCATTTTCCCCGGTACTGGGCTGGGACCCGGGGTGCTTTAGGGCTGAGTTACGTCCCCAGCTCTTTGAAAGGGTGTTTAGAAGTGGGGTGTGCTCAGGGCAGAAAATGAAAAACTAAAATGGAAAGTAGCACACCCCTGACCTTCCCCTCCCAGAGATGACCACTAGCCACACTTAGTGCCCTTGTCACCTGGTCTTGATTGAAAGACAGGTCACACTGCATGTGTCGTTTCGCAACAGGCTTTCATTTTAATTTTTTTCCTTTCCTTTCTTTGGAGACTGGATCTTGCTCTGTGGCCCAGACCCATCTGGAACACCTAGGCTCACGGGATTCTCTTCCTCGGCCTCCTGACTAGCTGGGACCATGTCCTGTGTCACTGTGTCTGCCTTTTAAAATAAAAGTGACATGTACTCATTTTAAATTTCTGAAAAATATGTATTTTATAATGAAAACCAGTGGTGCCCTGTCTCCATACACGGATCCATCACACCTAAGAGGATCCTTTTCAAATGTTGTGACATTTTTGGTCTGTGTTTAAGTTTTGAAATGACATATTTATATCATTTGTTTCTAATTCTTCTTTCTTGGTCCTGGGGATTGAACCCAGGGCCATTCAACCTCTGAGCCCCATCCCCAGACC